ATTTAGATCTTCAAGGTCAGAATTTTGAGTTTATTCCATTCGGGTCTGGAAGGCGGTCGTGTCCAGGGATGACATTGGCATTGCAAGTGACACACTTGACCATTGCATCCTTGCTTCAAGGATTCAACTTAGCTACACCTAATGATGGTCCGGTAGATATGACTGAAGGGTTAGGAATTACAATGCCTAAAGCAGCTCCACTTGAAGTCAATCTCACTCCTCGCCTTCCTGCCGATCTTTATTGACCAATATGTAATACCAAAGACATGCTGCAAGTATTTATCCTTGGAAATGGAAGTGAAAGGTGCTTAGCTATCATGCCCCATCCAGCTTGCCTTGTTCAGGCTCCAATGCTGTTGTCCCAAAAATAATCAAAGTTCTTCATCTTGAATAAGGTTTTTGATTAAATGAATATTTATGATTATTAATCATGAGGAGAGTGAAGCTAACTCGCAAATCATTTTAACTTTTAAAAAGAGAAGTGCATCAAATGCAAATGAGTTTTCCCTTACACAGGTATAATACTAAGACAGTGTTTCAGTTAATAAGAACTTAAGATCTGAAATGAAATGTTACAATTTGGGACTTCGAATCTAAATACACTCTCCCAAACTCCATGTTTACAAACATGCAAAAATGATGAGTATTCAGCAGCGTGGTCAAGCAACTGACTATTATGAACATTTAAGTATTCAACTAAACAAAATGAACTTTCTTGGATGGAAACACAACGTGCAAAGAAAACTCTAATTCTAGAATTCGTAGATCCTTGCCGGTGTTGACAGAACCTTCACGAAATGTAGCAGTCAAAATTCTAAGGTCTGACATGCATAAGTCAAGCCATCAGCTGGGAGAAAGGCGAAACACAGTTTTAAGCTCCTTAGACTTTGTCCAAAATGGGGCATAACTCCCAACTTATTTTGTAACAAATAACCTCCCTACCTAGACCGGGGCTGACAGCAATGTTCTTTCCATTTTGAACATTAAAATCATTTAGACAATAATTAGGAAATATGAAGCAAAAGGATCCCAAAAATCCCTCACAACCTGCAATTTGCATAAACTCTTTGCAAAAAATATATAACAAAAAAAAAAAAAAAGTGGAGCTGGATTCAGTGGAACCCAATTGCTAGGTTCCTCAAACCCAACAAATTTGGGTTTTGGGTTCGATAGAACCTAGTGCTAGGTTCCTCAAACTTAGCAAATTTGGGTTTGACGAAACCCAACTTGGGTTCCATCGAACCCAGCAAATTTGGGTTTGACGAAACCCAACAAATGGATTCCATCAAACCTAAGCTGGGTTCCCTTAAACTCAGATCAGCTGGGTTTGAGGGAACCCAGCAACACAGAAGAGGAAGAAAGAAAGGAAAAAGATGAACTGAAAGAGGGGAAGAAGATGGATCAAGAAAGGGAGATAGGGGTATTAAGGTAAATTTGTCATTTTTATTTTTTATTAAAAATATAAATACTAATTTAATTTGGTATGTGAGTTGACGATGGGACATGTCATAAAAAAATGTTTAGATCATCATCTTTTTAAGTTGTTTTTGCCATATCAACAAAAAAAATATAAAAAATGTCACATGGATGAAGTTAACAGCCATAAGTGACAGAAGGACAAATGTTATGCATTTTTTAAAATTGAGGGATAAAAAATGTACACAAAATACTTTAAGGACCAAAAATGTACAAACTAATAAAGTTGAGGACCAAACCAAGCATTTAACCTTATCTCTATTCAGCCGCCCCGGAGGGGGGGGGGGGGGTGATGTGGGGGAATGGATTGACTTGACTTAAATAGTGCTGGTGCTTCTTGCAGTCCACCAAGTCAGTACATATATACTTCTCCATCATATCGTTTTCTTTTAATATTTTTAAAAATAACCATAGAAGAAGTAAGTAATTTTTTAATTTAAATTCTATTATTTTCATATTGTATATTTTTCCA